GAAAAAAAAAAAAAAAAAAAAAAAAAAAAAAGGGGGGGGGGGGAGGAAAGCAAGAGAGGAGAATATTCAAACACCACCACCCCCCACACACTCCCTAGGCTGGCTAAATCAATTCCAGGAGTAAAAAAGAAATCAACACAGGTCTTTTCTCCAAGAATAAAAGGAAGACTTAAATCTCAAGGCACAAAGAAATTGACTTTATAACTTCAGGAGCACCACCGTAATATAATCTTCTACACCAGCTATCATTGTATAAGAAAGATCTCAGAGTTCTCAGAACCAAGCACCCTCATTTATCAAGTTCCAAAGAACTATAAATATTTACTGGACTAGTAAAGATATCCACCTTGATATATTTCTTACAGTATGCCATCTTCTTTTAGAGATACCGTAAGAGTGAATGTAAATAGAAAAGTCATACAACTCAATCATGGAAAGGGGGAGACATATGTACTTACAGAGGAAGGGATTTTATCTTTTCTGTTCCTATGCTGACCTGAACGTACCAAGTCAACCACACACACTCCCGAAACCTCAATGCTTCTGGAAAAATATGCTTATTTATCTAAACTTAGTAAATATTTACTTACCCAGCATCCTCCTGGAAGCCTTCCAATTCATCTCTTTGTTCTGCTAGGGTCGATTCTAGATCCAGATAGGTACCATTGTGAGACAATTGCAGGGTGCAGTCATCAAGCTGTAGAACAAAATTCAAATCATTAGACTACAGCAGTCATTCTCTCTAAAGTCACCTTCCCATTTTCCAGGTCCCCAGACAAGATCTCTCTAATGCAAACCATATGTAGGGAGTGGATAAGAAAATGGGTGCTGTTCAGCAATTTATGCCATCCCAAATCCACATTCACTAGACCATGCTTGGTCACAACAATATCAACATAACTAACAAACACAGAGAAATTTATTTGAACATATAGAAGGAGATTAGAGGGTTTTATCACAGTACCTTTAGCATCCTGTAAGGAAAGAGAAGTTAATTTAAATCTATATCTAGGATACAAATGATTGTTCTCTGTTCTTACAGTCCATTTAAGCAGTGGGCCCCTGGATGGAGGTGGATGGAAGAAGCAGCTATTTCATGAGCTACTGAACGTCCCCCACGAGGAAGGATACGGAAGGATACAGCCAAGGGACAGTGCAAGGTGTGGCAGACAAGAGTTGGGGTCCTGCAGCAAGGGGGAGCGCAGTCAACCAAAGCCCAGATTTTCTGGCATTCTCATTTTTGGGCCAGGTGCTAACCTGCCTCAGAGGTTGCAGGGAAGACCTTCCTAGGCACCAGGGGGGAGGACCGGACACATGCACCAACTTGCTACAAAGGTATTGAGGTAACCAAGGACCAGACCCGAAAGCAGGAACCTGCCTGCAATGACGCCGATGAGGGAGAGAGCAATTAATAAACCCTCTTTATTTCCATCCTGTCTTCCCTCAAGTTTTCCATTAATTGTTGCAGCTGTTGTTAAAAAAAAGCTAGATTTGATCAAAGTTAGAAAAGGAATTTTCTGGGGTTTTTTATGGGGAGCTCATCACAGAAGGTGGTCTAGGAAGATCCACCCCAAAAACTCTGGCTAGCTTATTGCACAGGACTATAAAATAATTACTGGATTGAGAGGGGTAACTGAAGAAGCCCGAGGGAAGAGCTAGGAAGTAACACGAGCTCCTCTCTCACGATGAGATAACCCAGCGTCAAATCACAAGGAACGAGGAAAAAAGCCTTGCCAGGGCAGGGAAACAAGAAAACATTTACCAAAGGGCAGGTGAAAGTACAGGGTTGTCCTACCTCACCACTAGGGAGTAAGTGGCCATCTGCCTTGGACAGCCTGGAGAACCCAGCCCAGAAGCAGAAAAACTGCCATCACTGAGCCCAGCTGGACAGGCTGCTGTGGACCTTCATGTGTCAGCACCACACAGGGGGTCCTTTTGTAACCGGTTCCAAGTTCACAAATACTGTAAGCCCCAGATGTGTTGTGCTACTAGATGTACAAAATCCAGTCTGATAGCCAGTCTCAGACCAGCCTGCCAAACAGAAGATGCTTCATTCTTCTGGATTTGGCAAAACAAACTGGCAGGTCCTTTGCATGCCTCTGTCTACCAAAAGGTAACCATGACGATGGTGGTGTAAATGTACATCCCTAATGCAAAGGCCACTTTTGGAAGAGGTGAATATTTAACACCATACTTCATACCAATCTTCTGCCACAGGTGGCAGCCGACAACTCTTTGAAGGGGTAAGCAAGAGTCTGGAATAACCAGTGACTCAAGGAAAAGAAATTACAACCCTTTATCACATCCATGGATTTTTCTTTCTGCTCTTTTTACACTAAGAAAGAAAAATCAATGAGAGTCCATCTTTGATGAATTAGCTGTTTTAACTTCCCATCAAAGTTATGGGTTCCCAGTAGCTGTTCAGGAAAGCATAATAAGCAGCCACACTTCTTATCTGGCAGTCAATACCAAAACATAGTCACCCAGTTTCCTATCACTGATTTATATATGCAAAAAAAGAATACAAATAGTCTTTGATTATTCTGGATTAGATGCACTGGAAATACTGCAGAAGAGCACATTTATAATTAGCAAGCCATAGAGCATGACTTTTGGCTTAGTCCACACCACTATATGCTTTGCACTGTTTGTGATCTGAAAGAAAAGTTCATCCTCTGGAGAAAGAGAAAGGGTAGAGGGAGGAGGTCAAGTCACATTTCAAACCTAAACCCGTTCCATTTTTTCTTCCCTTTTTTTCCCCTGGGGAAGGAGTAAGTCATCAAATAAGGCGACATAAGTTTTTACTGTGACTCCTGGGGATTAAAGAAAGCAAAGAAACTCCAAGCACAGCCCTCTGATATTAAGAATAACAACAGTATTACTATTCTGTATCTTTCCAGTTACAAAGCGTATTATTAACCTATGCTAATTCAAAATACACTCTTTAGAGAGACAGACTAAATACTACTCTGGGAAACTTTCTCCCAGTAGCCCAGGGTATCTAATGAAATGCTAATTTATTCAAAGTAATGCCAAAAGGCAAACTACTAATTAGATAAATGTTCTGCTGTCACTATGGAGATTAGGAGATTTGCCCACAATTTCCAATTATACTGCATAATTAGGGAAAAGGAACTCTGCTTTACTAATGTCTTATGACTTTAGTGTAGAAAAAGTACGATGAGAACAGGAAGTACTTCATGTACAAAATAAAGAAGAATAAGTACATTCTACCTATTTTCATCTCATCTCCATAGTTTCAGCTGAATATAGTAACCATTCAGGCTTTAAAACCCTGTACATTGTACGCTGTATCCATTAATAAGAGCATTAGGGTAACAGGAGAAACAGCAATATCTTTTATTTCCATTACTTAACATTGAGTCTTGCCAAAAAGATTTTTTTTTTCTCTCTTGAATGTGTACACACAGAGATGGAAGGGAGCAAAACAACACTTTTAAAAGAGTGTAAGTATTAAGGCAATGAACTCTGAAATCATCCTTATATAGGAACACTTTGCTACTTTCCCTCCAAGCTTCACTTGCACACATATTTTTACAGGCAGAACACAGAAAGAGGAACCACCTTATGAATTATTTTTAATTAGTAAATTGCCTGCAGTTTTCAGCACAAAGGATGGCTGATGTTCACTCATTAGTGCTTATTAGTAGCAATTCAGAAGGTTGGTCTCTCCCCTTCTGTTCAATGTTAATCCCATGTTTATCTGCTACGCATCAATTCTCCCGTCTCTGGAGACCCTCACAAATGGCCCCATCTAGTTCATTCACGACACGTTCTTCCCGTTGATCATAATTCACATTAAAATCCTTAACACCACCCATCTTCTCTTAAGACAATCAAAAGACAGAATGAGTAATGACAGTCTTTCAAAAAACATTTAACTGAGCTGTTTTCCATAATCATGAATGAGACTGCTGTTCAACTTTTTCAAAACTAATTCAATTTATTTCACTTTGTTCTGTTTAACTCTTCAGCATTCCCCACTGGTCCCAAAATTCAGATCATTATTTTGTTATTAAACTGCATAACCAGTTTATGCTATGGCCACAAAGTCAAATTCTCCAAGATCTTTTCATAAGCTTACAAAAACCATTTTTTCTAAAATCTCTCTTGCCCACCCCTTCAAATCATTAATCATTTTTTGTATCACGCTTTACTGTATTGCTCAGAAGAGCTAAAACGTTGATATAAGTCATTTAAATGCAACTCATCCTGCAGGCTTCACAGTGATTTTCCATACTTTTCTACAGTCACATTAAAAGAATACTACAGGTATCATGGAAACATCAACAGGGAGACACTTCATCAAATGGGACAAGTATAATGCTACTTCTCCGAGTCAAACACAGAATTACTCCATTCTCAGTCTTCTGCAAGTCTTCAAGTTTTTTCATTGCAGCTTAAGTATCAAACCATATCATAAGCTTCTGCAAAGCTATAAAAACTATGCATGCATTTCAGCTACATTCCCATCTTCTCAAATTAAGAGTTTCTTGAGAAAATATCCAGAGCATATTTTTTAATCCCTATGGATATTCCCCAATTCTCTCATCTCTATAAAGAGTGGGTCTACCTAGGAGTCGTGTCTTTCACAGGAGTGAAGGAACAAAAGCTGTTACATGCAGCGGTCACTGAAGCATGCATTATAGCCAGAATCACCAACTGTGGATGGCCAGAGCTACCAGCAAGCATCCTCCCACTGTGTCTACATGAAGGAAGCAAGGAGACGACGACTGTCTTACACATCTTCCTCATTAAAAAGCTAACTGATGTGCTAATTATCATCTTCAGTTTCACGCTGAAACCTCACTGAAACATTAAGATCTGTACTCTGTCATGACAAGATAGGTATCAAGTAGTAGTAGGTGCTACTGAAATACAAGTAGAGCTACTAAATTAAACCAGTCCAAGATTTACCTTTTTCTGCAACAAACGTTCCAAAACAGGAACCAAGAGATGTCTGAACTTTCTCGGATCATAGCTGGTATCCATGCAGTGGCAACTGACCCACACCGTCCAACCATTATAGTACCTGTGCTTGCAACCATAACAAGCACAAATGGAAAACCAAAAAAAGCATCATGCACACACACAGACCTAAACACCACCATCCCAACAGTTTCCTATGTGTATATGCATGTGTACATATATACGCATATATTATGCCTATATTTTAGATATTTTCC